AGACTCAATTACATAATACGGTTTTATTGAAATGAAGATTTTTAATACCAATTATTTTAAGTGTTTTTACTTCAGAGGTTACTATTATTGTTGTATTTTGTTGGTTTCTTAGATTATTTGAATTAAGGCGTTGTATGGAAAAGGTAGCAAGTTAAACATATATTTTTTTTTATGAAAAATGTAGTAAATATATATTAGTATAGTAGTGATATACCTACAATGGAATTATTTATATAATATATTAGTAGAAACATATAAGATTAATATTTATTGATAATTTATATTTTTATTAAAAAATAAATAATCGAAAAGAAAATTTTATTTTAAAAATAAACAAAAAGGTTTTAAAAAATATTACAAATTGGAAAACAAAAAGTGAGTCGTGGATATTGGATGATTTGATTCTACAAAATTTAATTGAGCGGAAAAGTAGTGTGTAAATAATTGTTTTAAATTTTGTTATAGATCTTTAAAATTCAACCGAATGAAAGATTTGTTACAAAAACTTTACCCGAAGCAAATTTTAGTGTATATTTTTAATGATAAAATGTATTTTATAATTGAAGTTAAATCATTTGCAATATAAGTAGTTTGGAACCTTAATGTTAGTTTGTAATAAAAATGAATTATATAAACGTTATCTTTCAACGTTTCTAAATACTGATTAAATCAGATTTCTATATTTTTTTTTGTTAAAAAAAGGCAAATATTTTGTATGTCAAAATTAATCAATATTATAAATAATAGTTCCTAGTACTATTAAATGGATTGGCAATGAAATTTGCTTGAAAACTTTTGTAATTGGCAGAATATATAATTGTGTATGATGTCAACTATTCATATAAGTAACTAAAAAAGTTACTTCAACATTTTTTCTCATTGAGTCTTGTTATGAATAAATTTTATTACAAAAAATAATTGTTTAATTTTGTAGTTTTATGTATTAATTAAATTAAATGTTTGAATATCCAATTCATTTATTTATTATAAATTATAGCTATCCAAGCTATAATTTGTATTTTTACAAAAAAATATAAAACTTTAACTGCTATTAAAATTTCTTAGACATTTTAATTGCAGTGAACAAATTATTTATTTTTTCAAGGATAATAAAAAATTAACTTTATTATTAATAATTATTTCAATTGGTAGCTATAGAGTTTTGTCAGTGCCAGCGCTAGATATTGCGCAACTTAATGCAAAAACGTATTCGATGGGCTCTTTTTATATTTTATTTAGTAAAGGAGACTTTATTTTTTTTCATATGAAGCTTTTTAAAGGCGAAGTCCTAGTACATTTATTGTTTTGTCCTTCTTCTGGCACAGCGTATTGTATTTTCAGCTTTTAGTTAAATTTTACGTGCTGTTGAGTTATTTGTTGCATGAATTTTTCATTAGGTTATTGATTAAAAATTGCAAATTTATTATGTAGAATATAATTATAACTTTTACTGAAGCTATCGATGCATTCACTGATATTAATTAAAATTTGATGTTTTTAACCTCAATATAATGTCATGCGAATTTTTTATACAAGAATAATTCAAATATTGGTATAAATATCATGAACTAGAAACATTAAAAGTTACAAGCCTTATGACTGAAAAGAAATAATTGTTTAAGAGAAAAAAAAAATCTATATTATAAGTGATTATACACCAAAAAGCTTTTAACTTGAGAACATTATGTTGAGTAGTTATATTATATATATATGGAATTATTTTAAACAATATTTCAATTTTTTATTTACTATAAAAAGTGAATAGATATCAGTAGAAAAGTTGAATAAAATAAAGTTGCAAATTTGAAAATTGTTAGTGTTTTTTTAAACTCGAAATGCATTTTATTTAGAAAAACTATTATCTATGAATTTATTATTTACTGATTATAAACAGCAGAAAAGTTTTTTGAGTCATTTTATCCACTGTCTGCTCTGTCTTGAAAGATTAATATTTTTATTATTATAAAGTTTGGTGTGCTATAACTGATTGCTGACAAAAACTTTTTCTGAAGTTATGTAAATTAGTTAATCTTTTACATTAAATATTAAATAAAAATACCAAGAAAAAATTATTAAGAGGATAGCTGAATGTTATTAACATTTTTTTCGTTAAAATTAAGATTTGAACAATATTAACAGAAAGTATTATGTGTAGTTTTATTGTTGGCGAGATGCTTTTTTTTATAAATACTTGTTCCTAATTCATCGTCTCTATAACACGTGATTAGAATTTTGTTGATTAATTTTTTATGTCTGGTTAAAGCTGACAATATAAAGCCTATTTGTCTGTTTCCTCTTGTAGACAATTTATTTATTGTTATCCATTTACATCATTTAACGCAGTGATTAGAGTATTTTTGTTTTGTATCTGTTACGTTCAAATAAAGTTTTCATTAAATGATTTAACTTCATTGTAATATGGCGTTTAAACGAAAAATCGAAGTTGAATTCAACTAGAGTTAAAACCAATAACCTTTGCTTAGCCATAAAAATATTTGAACGGAGGTAAGCCGTAAGATTATTTTGCATCATGTCGTTCAAAACTTCAAACAGAATTATTGTAGTTGTTAAAAAAGATTACCATCAAAGAAAAATTTCATAAAAATGATTAAATCTGTCATTTTTATAATATATTTATTAAATAAAAATTAATACATTTGTCATATTTTTTTTTTTTTTTAGTTGTACTTTGTATTATGTTTATAATCAGTATAGACATTGAAAAATCAATTTTTTGGATGAAAAAAAATCTGAACAAAAAATTATTCACAATTTTTGTTGTTTAACTGATATATGTATTTTCTCAGAAGTATAAGTTAATTGAAAAATTATAAAAATAACTTCTTTTTTATTATTATTCATAGAGAGCGGATGACTGGTATGCATTTATAAATTTTGTTAAGTTATTCCAAACACATCTTCAGCTAGTACAAATTTGTATCAATAGGTTTGACGACTTAGTAATATGATTTATTTAGGATAATATTGTTGGGAGGATTGAGTGGTACATGTCTCCTTAAAACGAAAAATATTTCTACATTATTATATATCGCAACAAAAAATGTGCACAACCTTAAGAAATGACTAAAAAAAAATGTATAAATACATACAAATTCGTTTAAAATAAATAACTTATTAATTGAAATCAATTGTATTCTAAACTTGTTAGTTTTATAAAATGCTCGTTTGAAAATAATATTGTGTTTATTTTCCACAAATCTCTACTGATTATAGTTAATGATAAAAATTCAACACCGTGTCATTAATAATTTTTCTACGCTCAAAAGAAAAATGTATTTATTAAACCTCATTGAGTTGTTGAACAACATTTTGCACTTTATAACGTCCTTTTTACTAAAACAGTCGGAGAAGGCAAAAAACTTGAATGGTACACAACATTATGAATACCTGTTATAATATATTACACGTTAATGTTTTCGGACAGTTTAATTAGCTAGTTGAGGTTACGGCACTTCAGGATTGTTATCGTGGCTTTTATAATTTTATAATAACAATAATTAACAATATAATGGCTAATGCGAATTTTAACCATTGGAGAGTACCTTAATAGGCCGCGAAACAATACGTTGCCCACACACTGCGATGTAATATCTTATTTCCCGTATCCATTTATCACGAGAAGGCGACGGGTCCGAAAAGAAAACCGTGGAAAAACAACGATAGCGTTGTGTTCCGGCAGCTCTGTGGACACACTCGTGTATGATGTATGTAAACGTTAAAAAAAAAAAAAAACAGATTCGGAAGGTTTAAGCGCCGCAACAGCAATCCGATACTAAGAGTGGACGCTGAAACGGTTGTCGGGCGACGTGCTTGCATGTATTACACTCGAGTTGCACTGGAGATTAGGTTGGGGTCATTGCTTTTTATTGCCACGATCGATTGTTACACTGGCGAACAAAAGTCTCAAGGCTCACTTGTTAAACTTTTGCAGGCGTTCAACAATATTTTACAGCAAAACTGCTCGTTATCTTATACTGCGACAGAAAACGTGCCGAGCATAATTATCGCTGTAGTACTAATAGCGATCAAACTATTAACATCGTGTTTGATTGTGTGTGTGTGTGCAAGTGGCAGGTGATGCGCGAAAAAAAATGACGATTAATTACAGCAATTAATAAATGACCGTCGAGTGGGGCTAGGGCTAAAAATTCATCAACCGGTCGTCCATAACGTTTTACACGCGTCCGCAAACAGTTGTTTGTTGTATTTTAGCTGTCAAAATATGATTCTCGGTAGTTTTCATTAGCGTCAAATTTAATGGTTTTTACGATCGTCTCACGAGTAATATCATCTGTTAAAACCACGACGGAATATTGCTGGCAGTATGCCACACATAATACTACACTAAGTTGACCATCACGCCAAACTCTTGTCACGCGAATCATTATGTTAGCGTGACAACGCCGGTCGACTTTGCGAAGCAAACACACACTAGTAATAATAATAATCGTCTATTATATTATAATATAACGGCCCGACAGTATTTCAACGTAGTTGATTACTGTTTACCACCCACAAATATATTAACGCCTATCTTTATAGATGTCTATCACTCAACTTTTTTAATATACTTAACGAATGTCGAGTCACACAGTCCTAATAATAATTTTAAACGAAATATAACGATGCACGCGCATTTCGGTCATCGATAGTATCCAAATTTTACGATAACCGTTCCTATTTCCAAAAATACTATACGGTTTGCATTCTAATCGGCGTGACTAGAAATATGAATAAATTCTTTAATATTGACTCGAGGAAATGTCTGTGTCACATTTTATATTTTGTTCGTCACAATTTTATGATAATTGCTAGAACTACAGAAAACTCGCCTTGTTCAGAAAAATATATCACATTATCCAATTGTATTTTGTAATGATTGTATGTGTCGCGTTTGTAACCCACTACTTTGCAAATCAAATATGTCGTTTTCATTTCAGCGATCGAGCTAATATTTTCCAATTAAAATATATACTAACTTGTGTCTAGCTGGTTAATCGATCCTCCGCCGACTGATGCATGGCGACTGTGTCGTCTTTCTGAAGCCAAAAATCCAGGTACTGAAAAATACAGATGACATTAATAACCAAACACCAAAAGAACGTACATTTTTATAACATTATCATTGTACGACTATTAAAACATTATTAAATTTTAAACATTTTCCTGATATTATACAAGATTGCGTACAAAGAGAAAAAATTCTTCATGTTGTTATTAGAATAGTTGTGAAAGGCATATGTTAAACATTGATAATGGGTCAAAAATATTAGGCAACGGTTTTCTACATAATAAGTATTTTTTTAAGCGTTATATACTTTTAAAAGTTTATTTTTTTTTAAGTTTATAGTGTTGCTGTACTGACGAAAACAGTAATAACTTTGCGATCGCTGTCACTCATGAAGACTTAAGCACGTGTTTTTTGTTTTTGCACAATACTGCAGCGTGCTTTATTTTATAGTATTCATTTAATACTCACACATAAAATAAACTCTACTAGAACACGTTTCACATAAATTACTTACACAGTTTACAAAACTTTAAAGTGTATTACCTTTTCACTCTTAAAACATACGACTGCGAGCTAAAAGAAGAAAAATTCCTCCTGTAAATATCATAGATGACAAGCGTTTTTTGAGTGTTATAATAAATACATACGAGTATGTTTTATGTTCATGTTGCACATTTTTATAGAATAAAGTACGACCCAACTCTAAGTATTTGTACTTGTATACATGGCAATGTTGTCATATTAATTTTGATGCCAAGTCGTAGAAGCTCAAACTTTTGATCAGACTAAATGTGTGAATAACGTTTAAATGAATCAGATCAGTTTGCACTATTTTATATTACTTTATTTTTAGAATTTGTATTTTTCCCCCCGTAAAATATCCACGCGACTTTTAAAACTTACATGCCAATTAATTGTTACTACGACATTATTTTTCCATAGACATGCGGTGACGTTTTCGGTTTGAAATGAACAAAACATTATTATCGTGTAAAAAACATAATAATTGTTAATATTTTTTTCAAATGAAAATTATGAATAAATTTATAATAACAAAGAAGAAACGTGGTGTTTTATTCATTTTAATTATTCGTCGGAAAGATAACTTGGAAATGTTTATAATTACTTGGGTGAACAATCGAGAATGTGTTAACCAAGTAATTTGCAATTTTTATTTAAAGTTGGCCGATTTCTTTCTTATAGTTTAAAATTTAATAAAAGAGAGGCATTTCGTTAAAAGTTGACATTAAGTTAAACGGGCCATGTTATATCTTCAGGATTATAGCAACGAATGATGTACGAACGGTTCCGCATATTCGAGAGCTAATAACGCCCAAGACGAACAAGCGTATCTCTTACCGCACACACGAGGAGCCTATTCAAATTAGCTGAACTTTACGTTTGTAATTTCCCGTCTAAAGCGGCGGCAACAGTCGTACAGGGTTGGCTCGTTTATTTATTATTATTTTACTTTTTCTTTAGTTGTGCCCCCTTTTTTTTTTTAATGAAATACCTAAATACGTATTCACAGTTGGAAAATTTAAATCTACCCATTGTGCTAGTGGGTATGCTTACCGGTTATTACGGACACCAACACTACTACAGTTTGCCGGCATCGCTGTGTGGGGCGATGGGTTTTTCTGGCTAATGAAATATTCATGAACGTCGTTCGGATCGAGAATAACTAGACCGCTATGACACTACCTGAACAATACGTGATCGAAATTAAGTTTTATTATTTTTTTTTCTTTAATTAACGAGACGTTGAAAACGAGTAATGTTTGTTGACCATCAATTCGGGCCAAAGTTTAATTAACGCTAACGTTTTTTTTTACAAAATGAAGAATTGCCCGAACAGCTGAATTTCAATGTAATCGCTTACACACTTGCCAATCGAGTCAATAGATCTCGTTTGAAAGTGAATCTTAACGCTATTTGTGTTTGAGATTTCTATGATTAATCGAAAACACGGCCAAAAAAATTTATCAACAATAAAAATGTATAGAATTGAGTTTTGAAATTATAAAATTGTACAGTGACTGTGTAATAAAATAAACTGTATATTCACTACTAAAGCCCGTCGTTATTTCAACATTTCATATTCATTGCCTAAAACTGTTTACTTAACATAAGAAAAAAAAATCGGTACACTTAACTGCACCACATTTCTTCAAAATACATTAAATACATTTCACGTAATTTAAATATCTATTCCATATAATTTTTTTATTTCAAAATATTGATTTTAGAGTTATTAAAGGTATATTTTATAATAGTTAATTAACTAAAGATCGTGAGGGTCCAACAGTGATGTAATATTATCATAATAATCTTTTAAAGATTATTGTCAAGAATTTTTGATATTTTTGCTATCGTAGGACTATCAACCAATTAAAATACGATTATTGTTTTATTATAAATTTTCAATAAATATAACCCATTAAAATATAATATCATTGGAGTACTTTGAATTTCATGTGATTGTTTTTATTTTTGCACTAAAAATACTTGCTATTTTAATGTAACAAAATGACATTAATATGACAATATGTAAATTTTAGTGTAATTATTATTATGTAACTGGATTGTAAACTAAACAGGTTACTGAAAATTAGAAAATCCAATAAAATATTAGCAACTAAATTACACAAAATCTATTTCGATAATTTTGACATTTATTGACTAAAAAATTTTTTTTTTTTTAACAAAAAGTTATTCTTAATATCGAAAATTAATGAAAACTATATGTTTTAATTATTCATGAACAATATTCATACTCAACATCTGTCATTACTTTTATAGAATTTTGATTCAAGATGTACCTCAATTATTACACTGTATTTCTGGAAAACTTAAAAGGTCTTATACACTAAGAAATTTTTTAATTAATTAAATTTTTATTGCTTTTCTTGAAAGTTTCCTTTAGTGGTAGAAATATTTATTTATATTTTAATAAGAGGAATAAATAAATAAAAAGGTGGTCTGAATTTATTCAAACTTAAATACTCCAAACAATATAAAGCTTTACTGTAATGGATAAATATTATTTATTTCATCATTTTATATCCATGCTGCATTATATTTCAGTTTATTCTTATAAAGAAATTTATATTATAATATTAATATTCGTTTCTGTTGGTGTAATGATATTATCTTACGCTAACATCAACAGCTTTTAAATTTAAATTTAGTAATTCATAAAATATTATATAGTAATAAAATCAATAATTGTTTGTACATATTATTGCAGTAATCAAGAATATCACAAAAAAATAAATTGATTGCTTTAATTATTTATGTTGAAATACCATTGATTATTAAAATGGTAGTAACTAATTAATATTGAGAATAATTTTAATTTTAATTTGTCGCCTATAATACAAAAAAAAAGTTTAATGATAGCTTTTGTTTAATATTTAATTATTATTTTGAAAGCTTTAATTTTACACTGTATAGTATATGTTTAGTATTTAAAAATACATATTGTAGCTGTCATGTGTTCATATATTTTTAATCAACAGTAGGAAATACGTGTTAATGTTTCCAAATATTAATTTATTATTATGAAAATATGTCATGATATATATGAGGTTAATAGAACAAAATGCATGGTCTAATTTAGAAGAATTATGAGCGTCAAGTAGTCTCAAGGGTCGTGTTTGCGCTGTGCACAGTTTTATCTTGTTTAGCTCTAAAAACATTATTCTTATGTCATGGAACGTCCACGTTTCATTTTTTTTTTTTTTTTTTAGTTTACTTTAAGAGTTCCTTTTTTGATTTCGAAAAAATACTATTATTATCAGGAGAAACCACCAAAACAGGAAATTACACTTTTAAATTGTGGTTAGATCTATCATAACTCTAAAGTAATTATAGAACTCCATGTTAGAGATCATTTTTACTATGACGTTTTTATATTCTAGCTGAACTTTCAACAGACGTTAATTTTAAATGTATATACTCTAACCTTAAAGTCATTAAATGAGTATGATACTAGTTTATCCTTCTATTCATATAGTAGTTATCTTCCTCTTTATTTTATCACGCCATATCTTATTAACGTCAGCAAGTTACAACTGCAATGTGGTAAAAGTTAAAAGTACTATAATCAGAAATCAGCTCTTTAATGACCGTATTAAGGCGTTAACATCCAGGTGCGAGAAAACAAATCACAGAAAAATAATGGGCGGACGAGAAAAAAGTGTTTGTTGAAGGTTTTTACACAGCTGATGAGTTTCATTCACTGTCACTAAAATCTCACTCGTCTTTGTCTTTTATCTTGCTGGCGATACAACAATTTGTTCATTGCAATTTATCCATTTATTTATTTTTTTCCTTTAGGGCAGACCATTTTACTCTAAACTAGTAGTTTTCTTGTTCCTAGCGCCACGCAATGTAACCGTCTGTTTCATAGATATAAATTTTAACTCTGGCATTATTTTCTACGGCCGAAACGATTCATTTTCTTTCATTTCCCCTCTTCTCTTTTTAACATCTCGCAATAGTAATAACAGTAATAATATAGAGAAGAGACGGCACAGTCGCCTGTCGACTATTGTTACAACGATCCGAATGAGATTTTATTATTACTGTGAGTCTTACTCGTACAAGTAAAGTATTATTTTACAGCGATATTGGAATACAATGCACTCCTAATGACATGTATTTTCAACGGACTCTGCTGTGGATGTATTTATAATACATTATTTTATTTTGGGTATGGATAAATCTTGTTTTTCAAAATGAATTGTATCAATAAATTGTAATTCTGACCAAACTGGTGAAATAAATATGTACTTCACTACACGAGAAAAAAACCTAGAAAAACTTTATAAACATTTAACATAACGATAACTACAACTAAGACAGTTGGAATAACTGAATATACGGTTAACCTAACCATTTTTTGATGTTATTCCCACTATTTTTTTTTAATTTGTCACTACATTAATCGTTTACTTTTTACGTGTAGTATTTGGAAAAGTATGCTTTGTAAAAAAATTAATTAAAACAGTTTTATATTTTAAACAAAATTGATACATAAAAAGT